CAGAACTCCATATTCATTAAGGAATTTAAAATTCCAAATCACACTTCATCCGAGACAAGTTTAATTATGAAACAATAATAATATGATCAATATTTATTCAGTTTCAATTGATATAATACTATTAGCAAATGTAATGCTAGGGTAAGTTCAAAGAATAAATGGGGTCAAGGTCAATAGGGACTGTAGAAAGCAAATGAAAACTGCAGTGAAAGTTCATGCCAATCAAGTGACAAGAAAAACACCTACTTCATACATATTGCATAGACAAGTGTAGAGAAATTTCATCACTTGACTAATAGATAAAGAAAGTGACAGAGAAATTTGTGTTGTAAATAATATAATATTCCTCAAAAAAAAAAAAGGAAAAAAAAAGGTTGTAAATAATATAATATTCCTCAAAAAAAAAAAAAAAAGGGAAAAAAAAAGAAAAAAATAAAAAAAAAGAAAGAAAGAAAGAAAGAAGACTATTACATAGAAATTTCTTCCTAGTCAAGTGAGACTAAGACTTGTGTTTGGATTTGTAATAGATATGAGATACTTATGTGTACACAAAAAGAGTGCATATATGATATGCATTTTATAACATCATCTTCACAGAGCATGTCTCACAGAGCATGTCTCACAGAGCATCATCTTCTTGAAACAATATTTCTTTCAAATACAAAAATATCCAAGAACATGTCTCAACCCCAAAAAGGAGCTAAAGATCGATTCAAACTTATACGGCTAATGTCGATCATTGAAGGTCATCGAGAGAGAGAGAGAGATGGTCGAAGGTCGATCTTGCCGGATAAGGTCACCGTTCGTCAAATCGAAGGTCACCAATCGTCAAAGGTCGATCTTGCGAAGGTCACCATCGATCTTGCGAAGGTCGATCTTGTTGGAAAAGGTCATCGATCGTCGAAGGTCGATTAGTCAACTTGCTACATAGAGAGAGAAAGATGGAAGAACGAGAGAGAGAGAGAGAGGCTGCGCAGATTAGGGTTTGGTGTTTTGTTTCGGACAAAATATCTAGATGGAATATAGGAATAAAATCAACGGTTAAGATTTTTTTAAAAAAAGTGCAGGTGGGTTCTTGCTGGTGTGGGTTAAACCTACAACTCGCCAACAATCAGTAAATATGTAATATTTCAAACCGCATCCGCCCACATTGTGTCTGTGAAGTCACCCATTTGTATGCGAGTTGGGCGAGTTTTGCGGGTCGAATAAACTGTTGCCCACCCCTATGTGTAAGTCATAATGTGAACTTATTGTCCAATAAATCCTATGATAATTAATAATATTTTTTATCAAACACTATTAAAAAAGTCATTAATTGTTAATTTTCAACGACGATTTTAAAATTTTTTCACAAAAATATCACTAATTATAAGTTTTAGCGATAATTTAAAAAATTATTACAAAAAAATGTTACTAATTTTTAAAAAATTCATTGAAAAAAAATATCACTAATTGTAAGTTGGTGACAATTTATAAAAAATCATGATAAAAAGTCATTAATTATTAATTTTTAACGATATGCGTAAAAAAATTATTATAAAAAATTATTTTAAAAATAACTTTTAATAAAATTTAATAAAAATTAAATCAAATTATTAAAACTTATTAATTGTCACCCTTATTTGTAACCGGTCAGTTGAGGTTAGATTTTCAATCGGATATGATTTGTTTTATTGGCCCTGTTTGGTAGAGCTGTGGGAAAGTGCTTATAGCTTATGCCTAAACAGCTTATAGCTTATAACTTTCAGCTTAAGCTGATTTCCAGCTTATTCTTAAAGCATCTCCTGCCCCACTTAAAGAATAAGCTGTTTTCTGACTTCCACAAAACTAAAAGGTATAAGCTATAAGTTAAACCAAACACATCAAAATAGCTTAAATTAAGCTGAAAGCTGAAATAAGCTGAAATTAAGCTGTACCAAACAGGGCCATTGACTTCTGAGACCGACTTTATTAAGCACTAGACCAAAAAAAACAAATATAGGCAAATTTAAGCCAAGCGGTAGTATGGTCGGCTCCCATCCAAACAAGCCCTGGCCGGCTTTCGTTTGTCCTACTCATTGGTTTAATTTTTGTCAACAATCATATCTAAAAAATATATATATATATATAATAATTAATAATTTTTTTTAATTAACTGTTACATCATCAAACAAACAAATTATGTGCTTACAATAATTAAGAAGTCAAGAAATTTACCTAACAACTAATTACCAACATACAATCCATGATAGGGAGAAATAAATATCGTTATAAAAGGTATTAAATTTCTCTCTATAAAAACTGAATAGGAAAATTCATACACGAAGAATGTTATACAAATACTAAGCCAATCAATAAGTTTTCCATAAAAAAAAGTAAGTAATCAATAAGTTGAATACAAAAATTAAATCTAGAATCAAAGATAAAAAATGAACAAATTAATAGGTCTTTAGTACTAGGAAAAAAAAATCAAGATTTTGCTAAGAAACATAGATTTTGCCAAGAAAAATGATATGTGATTGAGTTAATGTGTTACAAAATTCTTATATAAATAAATTTATAATATTATTGTAAATAAATAGATAAAATTTTGAGAAATGTGCCTCACTAACAAAACTTCTAAAATCTTATCCTTTTATCTACTTTTATATATAACAAAATTATCACCTCAACTTTTGTGGGGATATATTTTGTGGATACCAACACGTGGCATGGTGACGCCGACGTGTCAGTCGAGGTGCCACGTACCTTGGTAGTTAAGCCGAGGTAATCTCGGAGAAGCCGAGGTCATCCTCACAAACAAAACTTCTAAAATCTTATCCTTTTGTCTACTTTATATATATATATATATATCACCACAATATTTTAACGAAATTATCACCTCAACTTTTAATCTTCTCTACTTTATTTCATAAAGTTATAATACAACATTAAAATTTAAAATCAATAGCCTTTTAACAATCACATTATTACAAGTTTTAAAACCAAATTATCTTTTGACTTTAAAATAACATTTTGTTGGGTATTTTTAAATATGGTTTATTTTGGGTAAATTATAAATACATCCTTTAAAATTTATTTAAAGTGTGATTTAAAAAATTACAAATAATCTATTGTTGAAATTTTTTATTTAACAGAATTAACTGAAAAAATGAAATTCATAATTGCTCTTCTATACAATAATAAAATTACTTAAATTATTAATTGAAATATATTTATAATATTATTAAAAACTGTTAATTAACTTGATGATTTATTAATAAAATAGATTATTTATTATGAAATTAAAAACTTCAAGGGTGGAATGTAATTTTTAAAATTATAAAGAGCAATTTATATTTTAATCATATCTTAAAAGATGTATTTATAATTTATTCTTTATTTTATATGTACGCCTATGATTTATTCTGTGTTTACACAAATAAAGAAAAATAGTGGATTAGTCACCCCAATTGAAAAATGTAGTTGAGCCTTTGTAAGTTGACCGCGAGATCCACCTTCATGATTCAAATTGTTAAATTGTTGAAAGTTTGTTTTAGGAAGATTACTCGTATAAAAAATTAAAGGATGAAATACTAATAAAGTTTAAAACGTGATTTTATAAACTGTTTAATTTTTTTTTCTTTTATGAATTTAAAAGTTCATTAAAGTAGAAATTACACAAAAAAAATAATCATTTACATATTTAGATTTAATTTTTTAGGGATAAAAATGAGTTTCTCTAAATGTAAAATTATACATTTAGACAATTCGCACTATAGAAGTTTTGGATTTTTTTTCATTTTGGAACAAATTCCACATTACAAACAAAAATACAACACTCAAATAATGCAATACCCCAATGTAACACACTAAAAAATTCATTAGTACACTTTTTCAAACGTAACAACGTAGCACTCCAAAAAAATTCTTAGTATACTTTTCTCAAATATAATACTCTAATATAACACAAACATAACACACTAATGTAACATACTCCAATCAATGTAATCCCAAACGTAACATGCTCTAATATAATACATGCAAAAATAATAAAAACCCCTTAGTGTATTTTTTTCAAACGTAACACTCACAGTTAGAAATTATACATTTGTCCAAAACTCACTAATGAATTTTTGTACTCCTTTTGGAATGGTTTAAAGAATCTCACATTTTTTTTTTGGAGTGTTACATTAAAGTGTTACGTTTGAGAAAAGCACACTAAAGAGTTTTTTTGGAGAGTTATATTAGAGTGTTACGTTTGAAAAAAGTACACTAAAGAGTTTTTTATGTGTGTCAGTAGAGTGTTACATTAAAAAATTTTTTTTTGTGTATTACACTAAATGTTATGTTAAGAAATTTTTTTAGAGTTATATTTTATAGTATTACGGTTAGAAAAAGTATACTAAAGAATTTTTTTGTATGTTATGTTAGAATGTTACATTAAGGAGTTTTTTTGGAGTTATACTTGAAAAAAATACACTAAGAATTTTTTTTGGAGTGTTACATTAGAGTGTTATGTTTGATTATTACATAGAATGTTACAGTTTTAAATGATACATTTATTCAAAACTTACTAAGGATTTTGTATTCATTTTAAAATGTTTGAAGAATCCTACATCATTTTAGAATGTTTAAAGAATCTCATATTTCAAGTTATTTTTGTACTCCTTTTGAAATATTTTTCAAATAAAAAAGACTATTATATAAAAATTCATCCAAAATTTAATTCTCATATATTATGTATCATACATTTTTAGCACAAAAGAAAAGAAGAAAAGAAAACATAATAGATATAAGGGTGTAACCGTAAATCTAATTTTTAAATAATATATTAAATATAAATTTTCAAAATCAATGAAATTAATTAGTCTATAAAAAATTCTTAAAACTAAATGAATAATTATTTCTCAAAATAAAATTTATAAATAAAATTTTCATAATTAAATCGATAAAATAACCTTAACCATAACTACTAAATTAATTTAATTTTTTACATTAATAATATTTTTTACATAATTTTCAAACATAAAATATTCAGATGATTAAAATAAGTCCCGTCAACGGTAAACGTCGAAGAGCATCCTAATCTCCATCAGAAGATAAAACAATAGAAAAAATTTGGTGATAATAGACCTTTTTCCCATGGAATAAATCTTCATCTGTATATATTTCCTGCAATTACCCACTTGAACCCCCAAACTTGCCATCAATTTTTGTTTTCTTCAAATTATTGTATTACAAAACCATGGAATCCAAAAACAAGCCTCATGCAGTTTGCATACCTCTTCCAGCACAAGGCCACATAAACCCCATGTTAAAGCTAGCCAAGCTCCTCCACTCCAGAGGCTTCCACGTCACCTTCGTCCACACACAATTCAACCACAACCGCCTCCTCAACTCCACCGGTCCACACTCTCTTTCCGGTTTACCCGATTTCCGGTTCGAAACCGTCTCTGACGGTTTACCAGCGACGAACCAGAGGGGCATACTGGACCTTCCGGTTCTGTGCGAGTCAATGCCGGTTCACTGTTTGGAATCGTTTAGGGACCTCATGGTTAGGCTTAGAGATTTGAAAGATGTGCCTCCGGTGAGTTGTGTTGTGTCTGATGGTGTGATGAGTTTTACTATGGAAGTGGCGGAGGAGTTTGGGCTGCCGGAGTTGCTGTTTTTCACTCCGAGTGGGTGTGGGATGTTGGGTTATCTTCACTTTGAGGAGCTTATTCAAAGAGGCTACTTTCCATTGAAAGGTACTTTACCTAATCCCTAAATGTTACAGTCGGTTTGATAATGTTTGTGTTTATAATTTTTATTTTTTTAAAGATAAATTATAATTATTGGCTATTTTAATATGTTAAAATATTTGTGTTTGAGAAAAGAGATAATTTTTTTTGTAGTTGAATGTGATATTTGTGAGAGAAAAAGTGAAATAATTATGGGCTTAACGTGATATTTTGTCTTATTGACTGGTGATTTAGGATGTTCTAAATAAATGTATTTTTTGACATTTTATAAAAAAATGTGTTAAAAAATAAAGAAAATAAGTAGAAAAGTAGAAAGAATATATTGATAGATATTGATTGATGTGACTTAAATAAGTGTGTAAAATATTTTATCTTTTTATGACTATTTTAGTCCAAGAAAAGAATGTCAAACATAGCCTTATCAAACAAGACTAATAAAAACCCCACATTTTTTTGGAAAACCAAAAAAAAAAAAAAAAAAAAATTAACTTTTAATTTTTTATTAATTTTAAATCACATTACTTATCATATTTTTTTATTCATAAAAAGACAAAACAGACTAAAAAAATTAAAAAATTAATTTTTTACTAATTTTTCAAAACACTCAATAAGTCTCATAATTTTATTAACTTTCATATTAGTAAGATTAAAAAGAATAAAATCAATGCAAATTATATAAAAATATACAAAGTAAAAAATATATTTTAATATGAAAAAAAATTTATTTCTTTATTCATTCAAAAAATCGAATCACTTTGAAATCGATAAATCCGACAACTGAATGGTTGTGGTTGGCTCGGTTTCTGTAGACAAGATTCATCGATTTAACAGTCGTTGACTATAATGGACGATTCTATTCCTTTGGAAACCGAATAAACCCGAACCGTAAGTAATAATCAAATAGCAATTAAGAGGTGGTTAAGTGTATTTTTTTATTTTTTATAAAAAATTATATAAAAAAGTAGAGAAAATAATTAAAAAAAAGTTGAGAGAAAATATTGATAAAAGCTGATAAATATTGATTAATATAAGGAAGTTGAGATGAGTTTTTTGGTTAAAATAACAAAAAAAACGAAATAAATTTTTTAATTCAATAAAATAAAAAATTATATTTAATCATAATCATTACATTCTCTCTCATAAAAAGATAAAAAAATAAAAAAAAATCATTTCGTAAAAAAGTACGCTTTTTTTTTTTTTAATTTATTCTAAACATGTGCTAAAACTCTTGACGCTTCATGTAATAATAGTAATTAGAACTGAGTCTGTACCAGAAAAGGTTGCACAAGGCTTAAAAAAAAAAAAAATTTGTCAGACTTTCATTCACCTTTTCGATTCAGATTTCAAATGCAAGTAAACACTCCAATAAATGTTTCAGTAGTGGTACTATATATACCAATTAATATACACATTAATATATTAATTAGTATTATGTCATTATTATTGACTCACCTATTGTATAAATTACAAATACTTAAAATCTCTGTTATTATGTCACATCATATGTTAGTATATTAATTTATACATATAGCATTATTCATAATACAATACTAAGTGATGTTTTGAAAAGCTGATAAAAAATTAACTTTTAAATTTTTTTAGCCAAAAAAAATTAATTTTTTGAGTAATGATTCGGATAAAAAAGCTAACTTTTTGCTGGCAAGCCTAAAATACCTAACCCTAAGTAATTATGCAAATTTTGTGGAGTATATAATTATATTGTATTTTTTTAATTTAAAAAAAGTCAATTATTTGGTTCCGTTTCAGTTTTTAAAATTTACTTTCTAAAAATTTTTTCTTTTTTATTTTTCATATTTTTTTGGTTTTTATTGCATTTTTTTAATATCTTAAGCAATTTTAATTTTTAGACATATTTAATATAAATATACTTAAAAAGTATAGAGTAATGATCCATCCCTCCTTTTTTCTCCACCCCCTTTGACCCCCTCTCTCTCTCATTGGTCACCTTTTCTTTTTCTTTTTCTTTTTTTTCCTGCTCCACCAATCACCCCCTGCCACGTGGCAAAGGGAGTGAGGGGGTGACCCCCAAAAGGGGGTCCCAAGCATTATTCAAAAGTATAATATTTGTGTAAAAAAATCTTTAAAAAATTCACTAAATTATTTAGATATATCTAAGATAAGTGCATTTAGGCAAGTAAAAAATTGCTAAAAATTTTAAAAATATTCAGTAAAAACAAAAAATACGAAAAACAAAGAATTCAATTTTCAAAAAACTGATACTAAACACACTGAATATAATTTATTATTATTATTATTATTATTATTATTATTATTATTATTATTATTATTATTATTTTGTTGTCATTTATGTTTATTAAAGCTTTGAAAATTAAAAAAATGATCAATATTCATTTTAATGAAAAAGTCGAGGATAATTGTGCAAATTACACCAATTATCCCTATAATTTGTCTTTTGTATTAATTTGGTCTTTTATAATTTTAATTTCATCAATTTTGCCTTGAATTTTTTTTTATTATGTCAATTTAATCTAATTGATTATGATTCTTTAAAAATTAGACTAAATTTAATGGATATAATAATTTATTCACCGTCATCAAAGTGATTGAGGGATTAACGCCTAATTTGAAATACTATTTTATTTCCTTTTGAATGAATTACTTTGCCCTTGAGTTTAATCCAATTTTTTAATATCAAATGGATTTAATTAGCACAATAAAAAAAATTAAGAAACAAAATCGATACAATTAAAACAACACCATGATAAGTATAATTTGACAAAAACAACTTATCAACGTGACAAATATAATTTGTCCGGAACAACTTGTAAAATTTATTAAATTCCAGGAGAGTACGTTTTTTCTTCTTTTTATAAACAAAATTTCATTCCCTCCTAATTTTGTGTTTGGTTTGGGGATTTGAGGAGGGATTTGAAAAAAAAAATAAAAAAAGATAGGTGAAATGGGAATAAAATACACCTATATTTTACCTAATTTCACACATATTTTTTCTTTCTAAATCCTTCTCTACATTCCCAAGTCAAACACAACGTTAGTCTCCCATGTCCTCACCTCTAGCTACTATTGCCAGCAATTCCCTCAAAGTATTTCTGCTGCCAACAACCACCTCCGTCCAATAATTCTAACCACCTACAACCAATTTCAGTGAATATTCATCACTTCTAACAATCAACAACCACCTCTAATTAATACCTCCATCTAATCACCACTCATTTTCAAAACAAAATTTTGAGGAAATTTATGTATGTACCAATTTATTTTTTTTATTTTTTTATTTCAATTTTAATAGAAGTAAACATATATATGCATGTGTTATACTTTCTACAAAACTTGATAAATCATTTTGAAAAGTATTGGAGTTTATTATTGCTTTGCTCAAATGTTTCAATCCATGTTTCAACTTGTAGATGAGAGTTGCTTGACCAATGGATACCTCGACACCGTGATTGATTGGATCCCTGGAATGAAAGGCATTCGACTAAAAGACCTCCCAACATTCATCCGAACTACCAATCCGCAGGACACAATGTTCAACTACAACTTACAATCAATGACCAATGCTTTAAAATCCAAATCCATGATCCTCAACACATTTGATGATTTAGAACACCAATTCCTAGACATCATCAAAACCAAATTCAACAATCTCTACACTATCGGCCCTTTATCTCTCCTCCACCGCCAACTTTGCAACTCCGAGCCCCTAAACTCTATTCAATCAAATCTATGGAGAGAAGAAACAGAATGCTTGGATTGGTTGGACCGAAAAGAACCAAGATCGGTTGTGTATGTCAACTATGGAAGCCTCATAATCATGACAAAGGAACAATTGAGTGAGTTCGCTTGGGGACTTGCTAATAGTAAGTACTCATTTTTGTGGGTGATTAGGCCTGACCTTGTTGATGGTGGCGAAGAGATCTTATCGAGTGATTTCATGGCAGTTATAAGAGATAGGGGCTTGTTATTAGGTTGGTGTCCCCAAGAGAGAGTTCTTGGACATGTGGCGGTTGGAGGGTTTTTGACACATTGTGGGTGGAATTCGATTCTGGAAAGCATTTGTGAGGGGGTACCTATGATTTGTTGGCCATTTTTTGCGGAGCAACAGACGAATTGCTTGTATTTGTGTCAAGAATGGGGGGTGGGGATGGAGGTGGATGGCGGCGTGAGGAGAGAGAAAGTGGAGGGGTTGGTGAGGGAGTTGATGGAAGGAGAGAAGGGAAAGGAGATGAGGAGAAAGGCCATGGAGTGGAAGCAGAGATCAGAGGAAGCTACAAAGCCTGGTGGGTCATCTTATGTTAACTTTGATATGGTAGTCAAGTACCTAAAACAGGAGTCATTAACAACTACCAAGCCTTAACCTTAGCTTGTGAATTTGTTTTATAGCAATGTTATCTGTCCAAAAAAATTATTTGTAACTGTCAATTTTTATAAGATGAATGTGATTTGATAATACAATTATTAATATTCAATCACTTTGATTTTTTATATAGATAATATACTTGACGACTTCTGAAAATAAATGATTAAAATTATCGAAATAGACTCTAAGTGAATCTACTTAGACATAAAAATAGTAGCTCATCCCATTCTTTAATCACCAAGTGGACCCACTAGAACTTAACAATAACTATTCACAATATGTAGTGCATAGAAAAAAATTATGAAATGTGCACGAAAATAAAGTTATGTAACATTTTTTTTAATTTAAAAATATTACAAATTTTTTTAATTATCTATATTTTTGTGTCTCTAGTAACTATCAAGAATAAATAGGTAAAAATAACGATTAACTAACTAATAAATACTCCCATTCTAGTTTTTAATTTTTGTATTTTGTCACTCTCTCTTTACAACTAATTAAAAGTTTCAAAATCAAACATTATAGAATTACATGTGACAATTTCATGATCAGCAAGGAATGGTGTGATGGTCATGAGTCAGAACCCAAGGAAAAAAAAATCTGAGCCGAGCCAAGCCCACACAATGCATGAAAAGCGTTCTGCCTCAGGACTATAGGTCTACACCATTAGTGGGCTTTTCCCATTCTAGCTAATATATATTATAGTTATTTTTGTTTTGAAACCTCTTTTTTTTAAAAAAAATAAAAATAAAATAAAATTAAAATAAACATTCTTGCCCAATTTTTTTTTTTTGTTTTGTTTTGGGTGGAATGTAAAATTTATGAGTTTTATAAAATCATAAAATCTATTAAACTATTTTCATATCAAATTTATTTTTTTATAATTTTATACAACTCTTAAAATTATAAATAGGGTGAATTACACCAACGGTCCCTATAGTTTGGGGTTTGTAATACTTTGGTCCCTGACTTTTCAATTGTGACACATTTGACCCTGAATTTTGAATCTTGTTCCAAATAAGGACAATTGAAGATACTATTAGATTTTTAAAGGACAAATTCGTCAATTTGATAAAATATAAATTAATTTGACAAAAATAAATGTCAAAAAATTATTTTTGATTTTTTTAAAATTATTTCTACCATTTTTCTAAAACATTTAATGCCAATTTTTATTTTTGTGGCATTTTTTAAAAACATGCTACTAGTGTAGTGTCACTAAAGTATAAATTTGTTGTAATGACATTTTTGTTGTAGTGAAGTGACACTTTTTTTAATTGAAATGCCACTAGAGCCTTGTATGTTTGTGGTTCTATGACATTTTTCTAAAAAATGCCACCAAATATTCTTTTTGTGACATTTTTTAAGAACATGCCACAGTATGGTATCACTAAAATATGTTTTTGTTGTAGTGTTATGACACTTGTTCATTGAAATGTCACTAGAACCTTTTATGTTTGTCGTTTTGTGACATTTTTTAAAAACGTGCCACTAAATATCATTTTTGTGGCATTTTCTAAAAATGTGCCACTAGTGTAGTGCCACTAAAGTATGTTTTTGTTGTAGTTTTGTGACACTTGTTCTTTAAAATGTCACTAGAGCCTTTTATATTTGTCGTTTTGTGGCACTTTTCAAAAACATGCCACTAAATATCATTTTTTGTGGCATTTTCTAAAAATATGCTACTAGTGTAGTGTCACTAAAGTATGTTTTTGTTGTAGTGACTTAGACATAAAAATAGTAGCTCATCCCATTCTTTAATCACCAAGTGGACCCACTAGAACTGAACAATAACTATTCACAATATGTAGTGCATAGAAAAAAATTATGAAATGTCCACGAAAATAAAGTTATGTAACATTTTTTTTTTATTTAAAAATATTACAATTTTTTTTAATTATCTATATTTTTGTGTCTCTACTAACTATCAAGAATAAATAGGTAAAAATAACGATTAACTAACTAATAAATACTCCCACTCTAGTTTTTAATTTTTGTATTAAGTCACTCTCTCTTTACAACTAATTAAAAGTTTCAAAATCAAACATGATAGAATTACATGTGACAATTTCATGAGCAGCAAGGAATGGTGTGATGGTCATGAGTCAGAACCCAAGGAAAAAAAAATCTGAGCCGAGCCAGGGCCACACTATGCATGAAAAGCGTTCTGCCTCAGGACTATAGGCCTACACCGTTAATGGGCTTTTCCCATTCTAGCTAATATATATTATGCCTCCGTTTGGGAAGTGGGTTGGCTTTTTGGCTTTTTGGCTTTTTGGCTATTTTAGCCTGGGCTATTTTAGCCTGGTTTGGGAAGGGCTTTTTGGTTTTTTGGCTTTTTTAGCTTTTTTTGTGAGAGAGGATTGTAATGATTATGGGTTGGATTTGATGTTTTGTTTTTTGTGGCTAAAATAGCCTATTTTGTTTTTTGTGGCTATTTTAGCCAAAAAAGCCTGACTTTTTGCTTGCCAAACGAAGGCATAGTTATTTTTGTTTTGAAACCTCTTTTTTTTTAAAAAAAATAAAATAAATTAAAATAAACATTCTTGCCCAATTTTTTTTTTGTTTTGTTTTGGGTGGGATGTAAAATTTATGAGTTTCATAAAATCATAAAATCTATTAAACTATTTTCATATCAAATTTATTTTTTTATAATTTTATACAACTCTTAAAATTATAAATAGGGTGAATTACACCAACGGTCCCTATAGTTTGGGGTTTGTAATACTTTGGTCCCTGACTTTTCAATTGTGACACATTTGACCCTGAATTTTGAATCTTGTTCCAAATAAGGACAATTAAAGATACTATTAGATTTTTGAAGGACAAATTCGTCAATTTGATAAAATATAAATTAATTTGACAAAAATAAATGTCAAAAAATTATTTTTGAAATTTTCAAAATTATTTCTACCCACTAAAGATAAAATTATATAAAATTGATAAATCTTTTAGACATCTATTTTTTTTACCAAATTAATTTTTATTATGTTTTTGGATGATGATCATGTAAAATTAATTTTTAAAAATTAATCATGTAATTTTTATTATTTTTTTTATCAATTTTACATAATTTTATCTTTGGTGGGTAGAAATAATTTTTAAAAATTTTAAAATATTTTTTTGACATTTATTTTTGTCAAATTAGTTTATATTTTATCAAATTAACGATTTTGCCATTGAAATTAAGTAACGGTATGTTCAATTGTCATTATTTGAAACAAGATTCAAAATTTAGGATCAAATATGTCACAATTGAAAAGTCAGGGACTAAAGTGATACGAGTCTCAAATTATAGGGACTATTAGTGTAATTTATCCTTATATATATATATATATATATATTGACGAGAGACCAAAAAAAAATAAAAATATAACTATTACACTCTTTTTACGAGTAACATATTATTTTATCTCATGCATAATATAAGTTATCTCATGCATAATACAAGTCACATGATAATATAAATAGTAACAATGCAAAAAATGCTTGTTCATTGTTTGGCTCCCAACCAATCTATACATAAAAATAGAACATAATGTATTATATCACTTACCCATTACTCCCAACGAATGAATAAACAATATTTTTTGGGAGCAACCCATTACGCAAAGATACATGTGACTTTGAACAAACTTACACATGTGACTTTGTTAATCTTCCATGTGATAGATCCCAATCATAAGACATGTGATAAAATTTTTAACACAACACGAGTTGTATATAAAATTAGTAAATTAGGTTAGGTTTGATTAGAAGATTTAAGAGGAGATTTGACAAGAGAAAAAGAAAATATATGTGAAATTAAGTGAAATATTTTATTCATATTTTACATATATTTTTTTTTTCTTTCTAAATTTATTTCCAAATTCTCCAATCAAACACAGATGTTGATTAGTTTTGGATTAATTATATTTTTAGTGTTTAAAGTTGAGTTTTGTGCTATTCTAATCTTAATATTTAAATTGTATTAATTTGATTTTTAATATTTAAATTGTGTCAAATTGATTCTTAATATATAAAAGGTGTTTAAATTTGTGAAACCATTATAATTTAACTCAAATTTTACTTTAATTTCTATTATTTTAATTTAGGATAAATTACAAATACACCCCTTGAGATTTACTTAAATTATAAATTATCCTTGTAATTTTAGAAATTATATTATGCCCTCTAAAGTTTCTAATTTCATAATAAATAGGTCATTTTATTAATAAATCATCAAGCTAATTAACAGTTTTTAATTATATTAAAATTTTATTTCAATTAATAATTCAGATAATTTTATTATTGTACAGGTGAACAGTTAGAAATTTCACTTTTCAATTAATTCTATTAAATAAAAAATTTCTGACAGGGAGATATTTGTAATTTTCCAAGCCACAGGGGGCAATTCATATTTTAAGTAAACCTCAGGGGGTGTATTTGTAATTTTTCCTTTAATTTAAGTAATATTGTGTGTGTTTGATTTGAGTTTTTTGGATTAAGTTTTTTGAAAAGTTTTTCGTGTTTTTTTAGTGAATATTTTTAAAATTTTATGCATTTTTTAAACTTTTTTAGATGTACCTTACTTAAATGTATCTAAAAAGTAAAAAATTTGTGAAAAAATATTTTAAAAAATTATTAAATATATAAAAATATACTGAATTCTCTCTTTTTTTTTTTGTATTTTTTTAAGTAAATTTTTAAAAGATGTTTTTCATAAAAATTATACTTTTTATGTGTATTTATATTAGGTGTGTCTAAAAATTTAAAAAATCCTTAAAATATTTAAAAATATTCAATAAATATGAAAAAATACGAAAAATAAGAAAATAAAATTTTTTAAAAATTAAAAACAAGCAAAGTGATTAATTCTAACTTTTTAAGTATAAATTCAATTCCACCTGCACTTCATATTATCCACAAATATTTCAACATATACACCACAAAATATTACATGCATATAATAATGATATTCTTCATCATTGTACCAACAAATGGTGGTTGCATAAATTCTTCCAAATGTAACAAAGAAAAAGGATTGAAAAATGACAGAAAGCTAGCTCATACAAGCTAAATTTATTAGGAAGGAGTACTTATTTATTTTCGCCACTGAATTATTGCTTATTGTAATTTTTTTTTGGAAT